GTACTGGGGATTAAACTTAGAGACATTTGACCACTGAGCCACATTCCCAGCCCTATTTTGTATTTTATTTAGAGACAGGGTCTCACTGAATTGCTTAGCATCTCACTTTTGCTGAGGCTGGCTTTGAACTCACGATCCTCCTGCCCCAGCCTCCTGCGTGTACCACAGCACCTGATGTGACATTTGGATATATATATACCATGTGTAATGATGGGATTAGGCCTTATCACTCCTTTGTGTTGGGACATTTAGCATTCTGTCTGCTGGCCATTCTGAAACATTTGATTAATGGCTGCCGGCCTAGTGACGGGACCTTTCATAGCAGGTAGTACTTGCGCCCTGTGACGAGAGCAAGTCTAGAGCTGCGTTGGCCGGTGCTGGGGAGCCTTGGACCTGGTCCTGGGTGGGAGTGCTTCTGCGGCTGAGCCTGACAGTTTGCAGGAGGGGGCGTGGTCAGGCTGCCCTCCAGGTGCAGTGTGGTCGTGGAGTTGGTCCTGGACACAAGGCGACCCTCACAGGCGGTGGTGCTGGAGATGTGGCCGCAGCCCATTTGGTGGTGCTGTGTGCCTCTTGGTCTGTCTGCCCCAGGGGCCCTTTGTTAATCTGGTTGAAGGTAATGTGTGGCCCTTCCTAGGCGGCCACCCCTGGCTGGTGGCAGCATTGCCCTCATAGGCCCAGAACCGTCATAGGCCCAGCATTGTGGGCCACTGGAAAATCTCGTTCTGGCTGGCGGGCAGCTCAGGGGTAGAGTGCCTGTTCCGCTGTGCAGGGCCCTGGGTCTGAACCTCAGCACAGGCCAGTGACTCTGTCTTGGTTAACAGCCATCTCCCCTTCTGTCCCCTTCCCATCTCAAACCACCCTTCTCTCTCTGGAAGGAAGGCAAGCAGCTGGTGGCCATCCTGCTGCCGGGAGCTCTCCTGGGTTGGGGCGTGAACCTCACTCTTCACACCCTTGCTTTACCTTCTCAGAGCCGCGCTCCAGGGGCCTCAGCTACCCTGGCTGGGACCTGGGGCCTTCCTCCCCAGCTGACTGAGGTCACCTGTGGTTATTCCCTCCTGGCCAGTGTGGCCGTAGTTGGGCAGCTGCACTTCGAGTGGTCAATGGCCAGATTCCGGCCCAGGGGACATGCCTATACTTTGCTTCTTGATGAAAACCCTAAMGCAAAGGTGCAGCAGCCCCAGACACCCTCTGCCAGAGGCGGCCATGCTGTCTGTGAGGGCCTCGCCCTGTCTGGCTGCCTTCTGCCTGGCCACCACCTGATGCATGACCAACGGGGAGACCTCTGCTGTCCTTCCCGCTGCTCCTCCTCCAACAGGGCACCTGGGCGTTCTCAGGTGTGCTGTGATGCTTCTGTCCTCTGTGCACACCGGGGGCTGGAGAGGGGTCCGAGGGGTGAGTGGGGAGAGACCCAGGTGAACCAGAACCAAGACCCGGTTTACCTGAGCAGCAGCTTGACCTCCCAGCAGGTTCCAGACGCATGCGTGTGGAAACTTCTCTCTAGGACTCGAGCTTGTGCATTTCATTCTGAGATCCTAGCGAGTACTCAGAGTCCCCGGGAGTCCAGAGAATGGACTCTAGCCTCCCCACACTGGGAGGCCCATTAACTTAAGATAATCATCCTATGGGTTGTGAAGAGCGAACTGAGGAAGGTGCCAGGCAAAGAGGGGGGGCTGGCACTACGGCATTTAGCCAGATCCTGTCTCAAAATACAAAATAAAAAGGGCAGGGAGGTGGCCAGTGGTTAAGCACCCCTGGGTTCAATCCCTGCAACCACCCATCCCCCCAGAAAAGAAGGCAACAAAGGAGAAGAAGAAATAACCCTAAGGAGGCAAAAACACTGTCAAACCAGGACACATTTCTTTTCCTTTAGAATATTTATATCAACAGGATGATAGGAGGGTATACTTAGAAACATTTTTATCACATGTATCACCAGCTGGCCAGACTGGCGATAAGAGCTGGGTTCAAAGGAGCTGGCTGTATCAATAACTATGAAACACGAAGAAGAAACCACAGAGCCCACAGCATAAGTTTCTAAGGCAGGACAGCTCGGTGACCCCAAGGGTCAGCTCCGTGCTGGAAGGAACAAGAGAGCGGGCACACCCCAAACCCCTGTTTTTATTTAGGGGAAGTCATTCGAGAAAGTTCCACCCAAATAAGGCAAGGGATTGGGTTTCGAAGGGTGGATTCTTGCTTGGTGATGTCTTGTGGTCAGCAGATTGACCGACATCTTGGAAAGCCACACTCATCTTCGTGCTGTGTGGGATCACAGGCAGAAGGAGAGAAAGGGCACACATAGGTCACACAGCCCAATCAGGCAGGACCGTCAGGCCAGTCCCCTCATATACTCACATGCCCATAGCTCACAGACACAGCCCTTGGGTGGCTCGCAACACGCATGTATAAAGGAAGATGTAAATGTCATAAATTAAAATATTCTGGTCGAGTAGCACACGCCTGTAATCCCAGCAACTCGGGGGCTGGGGCAGGAGAATGGCAAGTTCGAGGCCTGTCTCAGCAACTTAGCAAGACCCTGTCTCAAAAATTAAAAAGGATTGAGGATCTAGCTCAGATGTAAAGCACCCCTGAGTTCAGTCCCCAGTATGAATCACTCAATCCCCAGTGTGAATAGATGTTCCTAGCTAGGCCTGGTGGTGTGTGCCTGTAGTCCTGGCTGGGAGGAGGTTGAGGCAGGAGGATTGCTGAGCTCAGCAGTTTGAGGTCCACCCGGATTCCATCTCAAAGAAAAAAAAAAGTGTGTGTGTGTGTGTGTGTGTGTGTGTGTGTGAGAGAGAAAGAGAGAGAGAGAGAGAGAGAGAGAGAGAGAACATGAGTGCACACACACATTCTTAATTTCTGCCAGACATCTTATCAATTCAGTTACTGGAGGAAGTACAAGGAGTTCCAAAGCGGGACCTCAATCACAAGGAGTGGAGTTCTTAACAAATGTTGCAGAAATGAATTCAAGGATGCCTCAGAGACACAGAGATTCATGTAGGAAAGCAAGGAACACACATGGAAGGGAGAACGTGGACCATGTGAAGAGTGGCAGAAGGTCGGGGATTCTCAGGTTTTTCTTTTAAAGGACACTTGGAGAGAGGGGTTGGGTGAGGAGGTGCCTGGAGCTGGCCTCTGTCTGGTGGCCAAGGTGGCTCATGGTGTCTGTTCTCTGGATCCTCAGGCTGTCTCCATTACCTGAGGGGTAGGTGCCATCCCCAGGGCTGCAGACGCCCTTGTTGACCCATCCCAGAGAAGAGCTTGGAGGACTGGGCGGAGAGGGTTGGGCATTTATCACTCAGACCTTGGCAGTGGCGGGCGGGGTTCAGTGGACGGCCTCCCTGTGCCTACAAGCAGGGGCCGCACCGGAGAGGCCGCAGGCCCTGACAGGTGGCTTGGCGCAGATGTTCCAGGAGGACACTCCTGACTTTACAACCAGGGTCAGGCTGTTCGGCTCCTCTCCTAGACTGGGGGAAAGGGAGGCGGCCAGCCACCGAGTCCATTCTCTTTGTTACCGCCTTCTCTAGGATCTTCTTATCTCCTGGCAAGCTTTCCCAGGCACCTGTCAGTGTTTAACCCAGTAGTAGATAACACCGGAAGGATTTTCTTTAAAACTCCTTTCCTTGCTTAGTCTTTATTACCTGTGCACGAGGTGACTTGTGTAGGTGGGTGAATCTCCACGGCCTCCAAGGTTCACAGAGAGTGACAGGCCTGGGAGGAACTGGCTTAGGGAGACCGAGGCTGGGAAGGCAAGCACACCTCCACGTGGGTTAAAATCTTATTTCCTGTCCTTCTTTTGCACCTTTCCTACCCACCTTTCACTTCTTCTGTCCCACCTCAGTTTCTGTGGCTGGTCACACAGAGCAGCTTGGTGCTGGCAGGAGCCCGGGCGGGCACAGCGCTGTCTGTGTAAGAATGCTCTGCTTTTGCTGTTGTTGCTGCTGCAGCTGGGAATGGAACCCAGAGCTGTGAACTTGCTAAGAACTTGTACTGAGCTACACCTCCAGCCCCTTCGTGTGGTTTTGGAGATGTTCTTCCAAGCCTCAGACACCTGTTCTGCATGGTTGATGTTCACACACAAGCCACAGCATGTAATCCTGCCTGTCCCTCGGCCAACTGCAGCTGTAAGACATCTGAGGTCAGAGGTGGCAAAATGAGAAAGTATTTACATGCTGGAATTGAAAAAATGGAGCAGTATCTTTGTGTCATCATCTCACAGGTCCGGGCTGTGAGATACTGAATACACAAGTGGAAAACGGCCAGGCCGTATCTAAAAGTAGGACCTTGAGCCATGACCTGCAGCAATAAACTCACCAAACCGGCCACCCAGGAAGCGGCCTGCTATCAGCAAGACTTGTAGGAAGCCAGAGTGCTATCTCTAATAATTCAGGAAGCTAAACAATAACTTCTGCAATAATTAATCCTACGTGGCCAGGACTCCATCGGTGACTGACAGCTTCCCTGATTTTTATATCTTCTTCCAACTCAGGACCGACCTGAGAAAGCCATCCATGTTCCCTGCTCCATCACACAGGATGCTGCACTTCTAGGTAGCTGTGCTCTGCTTTTGCACGTCATGCCAGCAGCTGCCAGGCAGTGCACACCTGAAGCTGTTCCCCTTTTTCCACCTTAAAACCTTCCCGGTCCCCGTCCGCATTTGAGTGTGTGCCAAGGTCCTCTGATGATGGTGGCCGGGTCCTTTGCCGTACAAGTCTGAGTTCATGGCTTGGCTCTTCTCCTTTGGTGGGTTTTTGCTATTTCCACAGCCCACCGAGGCAAGCTTCTTGGATCTGTACTCACCCGTTGAACCAGCTCCTCTGGACGGATGGCTGCCTGGAATGTGACTCTGAGGGTGTTTGGGCCAGCTTGGTTGTTTGCACTCTCACCTACTCTGTTCTCCTTCCTGTCTCTTTTCTGTTTTCCCTTTGAAGACCTAGAGGCCAATCTGGCTGTACCCGAGGTGCTGCCTCTGAAGGCGGCCATCATCCTCTGCGAGCTGCGGAATGGCGCCCCCTGCAGTTTCACTGGCTTCACTGCTGCTGGTGGTGACCCTGGCAGGTAGGAGGCCAGGGCTGGGAGCTTGTGCCGCTGGGCCTTGTCTGAAGTAACTCAGGTCCACTCCACACCAAGGTGCGGTGTTCTCGCTTTCCAGTAGACCTTATGCATAAGTGGTTTTCTGAAGGGATTTCTTTTTCTTGGGCATGCCAGGCAAGCACGCTACCAGCTTGCATCCCTGGTTTTATAGAAACTGGAATTTGAATTCTTTATTCTCATGAACTTGCCACTTCTTGGAACTGGACTCACCCTTTGAACCAGCTCCTCTGGACAGATGATTGCCTGGAATGTGGGAAAATAAAATCACATTTAATACATCTTAGGAAAAATTTGTATTTGTAGAATTACAAAACTTACATCATTGATATTTCTGGAAGTATCAGACTCTCTTTTCTCATAGGTCTTTATTTTTATTATACTCAATTTGCTTATAGTGGATGCACTTGCACCATAAAATCATTGGAGACTCTCAGCTCTGATGGCCCAGGACACCAGCTGAACCAGGGAGAGGGCACCGGGGGTTGAGGATGGAAATACCTTGGGAAAACTGTTCATTTACAGACTTCGTCAGCCATAGTGGGGCCATGGTGAGGACAGCCTGAGACCCTGGTCCTGGGGCCTGATCTCCAGGTCTGCTGAGTCAGAACTCCTAGGGCATGGCTCAGAGATCTGGGGTTTCAGCTAGCACCTGGTGGTGGTTCAGAAGACCTAAATTTTTGGAAGCACTATTTCAGATGATGCAAGGGCCACTTTGGAAAGTTCTGCACATCATGCTAGTTTACCACCCCCATCTACTCCTGTCACCGCTAGTGTGCAAGACAGAATGTTCAATGCTCTGAAAGTATACTGTCATTAATATTAATGTGTAGACATCCATTTTTAAAAAACAAAGGAACATTTTCCCATTCCTTTTTGTTCTTTTTTTGAGAAGACAACTAAGTTAATGAAATTAATGATTGTAGGGTTTTACATAATTAAGACCAAATAGGTTTTAGTGAGATGCTGGCTCTGTCATTTTCTTTTGAGGTACCGTCCACTAGTTCACAAATTCAGTGACTAAGTTACTGAGTCCCAATAATGTTATCTGCAATTTGTCTTTGTTAAATGCTAACCAGTGATTTTATTGTCGACAATCAAATGCCTACAATGTTCATGGATTGGGTTAGGATTTCAGAGCATACAAATACTGACAGTTCCTTGGTTCCAGGAATTTGGTGCTCCTTCAGTCAAGTGTGCCGTAAAGATGGTAAAGTGGGGCTGGGGATGTGGCTCAAGCGGTAGCGTGCTCGCCTGGCATGCGTGCGGCCCAGGTTTGATCCTCAGCACCACATACCAACAAAGATGTTGTGTCCGCCAATAACTAAAAAAAGATAAATAAATATTAAAAAATTCTCTCTCTCTCTTGTTTTTTTAAAAAAAGATGGTAAAGTGATTATGAAACTTGGACAAAGGAAAAATGATTTGTTTGTGGAGCCACCTTCCTAATTCCTTATTTAGCAGTCATGTCTCTGCTTAAGTTTTGCAGAACATAGGAATGGTCTGCCCTGCGGCCTCCTCCAGCCCAGTTGAAACTGGCTAAGCTTGCGTTGAAGACTTCTTCCACAGGAAGTTCTCTTCACCCCTATAACTATGTGTGCTCCAAGGTCACAGCTTTCCCTATGTGGTGGTTCCTGTGACATAGTTTAAAATTTGGCTCTTGAGCTTTCTGGGAGCCAAGGCCAGAAATGAACATGATTTTTCTCTGAATCACTTTGTCCAAAGGAGATGACCCAACTATTTCTCAAGAGAACGAAAGCATATCTTGGCATTCATGTGTGAAATAATGGGTCTAGCTTGGGTCTTCATTTAAAGGCCACTCAGAGATGCAGTGATACCTCTAAACACAGTGGTTTTGAGAGTGGAGTTGGGAGTGGGAGATTCTCTCTATTCTTCACCTCTCATCATCTTTGATCTGACTGAGATGCTATTTTGTGATACTCAGCTGGAGTATCTMACTACTTTCTCCATATCACAGATGAAGCTCTTTTCTAGAAAATAAAAGGACAAAACTATTTGGATGATTTTAAATAGTAGACTTATGTTTGAGAAGTGCCACTTCATTTTAGTGTGTTGCTATCTTATGCACTGGAGAAGAAACACATCTGGGATACCTAATTCATATTAAATTGGACTAAACAGGAATGGAGGTGTAGCTCAGGGGCAAGGCCCTAGGTTCCATCTCCAGTGCCAACAAATAAACACATAGGACTAAATAGTATTTTCATAGAGTCAAGGTTTGGCTTTGGGTTATTTTAAAACGTATGGTGTATGCAGGGATACATAAAAATAATTCATAGGCTGTGTATACCTTTTACACTATTTCCAGTTAGAACAACCTCTGACATTCCCTCATATGAAAAAAAAACAAAACTCAGTTATTTAAAGAATCATGAGTGATGAACCTACCTAGGGAGGAAATCCCTTGCCATTCTGAATTCTGCAGCAAAACTTTAATACAATGCTTTCAAAATTATATGTGGCAAGGCCAGTTTGTTTTTGTGTCCAATCTGTCATGGACTGATTTTTCTATAAAATACCAAACAAACAAGAATACAAGGGAAGTGATTTTGCCTTTGAATTTCAGGCAATGACACCTTTCTATAGAAGATTCTCAAAGCTGGTCTGACATGGAGTTGGTGCAGCAAGTTATAGTAGACCACTTCAGCAGTGCAGTGCCATCGCCTGCGGTAGTTACTGCCTTCTTCTGTTACTGAGAATCTGATTAAGACTACTTGGTTCTAGATATGTACAGAGAACAACCTTTTCTCAATCTTGGATATTTCCCTGTTGACTCATCTGTCATCAGAATAACCTGTGAAATTAAAAAAAAGAAAAAAATCAATGACCAACTGCAACCCAAACCCCAAAGATGTGATGCTGTTCCCAGAAGTAAACCTGTGTAACTTAATTTTACGTGAAGAGCAAAGTGTTGTGAATGATGTAAAACGACATGCACGTGGAGAAGAAGGTTTCTGCTCACTGAAGGGCATGGAGTCGTGAGGCTCTGGAAGAACCGCATGGTGTGTGGACAGGTGGAAGGGCCTGCGGACGGAAGGTGGAAGGACCAGGGGTGGATGGGTGGGTGAGTGGAAGACGGATAGGGGGGGAAGGTAGCTAGCTTGGTGGATGGACTGTGACGTTTCAGTGGTCTTTCTAGGAGACCGGGAGTCCGGCTTCCAGAGTGGCACGCCTGCAGGGCGCCTCTGTCCTCACTGTGGACTGCCTCCTCGCAGGTGGTGCCTGTCAGCGGTGCAGCGAGGGGAGGACCTACCCCAACGCCGTCATTCCGGCCAACCTGGAAACCATCAGAATCKTGTCAGTGCCTCAGACCTTCTCCCTGGGGGCCTGCACGGCCGCGTGCTGCCACCTGCCCAGCTGCGACCTGGCCTGGTGGTTCGAGGGCCGCTGCTTCCTGGTGAGCTGCCCGCAGGAGGAGAACTGTGCGCCCCAGAAGACTGGCCTGCTCAGGTCGTACCTCGTGTTTGTGCTCAGGCCCGCGGGGAGGCCCGCGCCGCTGCTGGACTCCGGGGAGAGGATGCTGAGCAGGGCCGCCGCCGCGGGGGCCTGGGGGGACCCGGCCGAGGGCACCAGGGAGGACTTGCCCCTTGGAGGCCAAGGCCCAGGCCGGGGCCTGGAGGGGATGGCGGGGATGGCTGAGCCCTCCGATGACGACGGGGAGATGGAGCCCAGTCTCCTGCAGCCCAGCCCCCAGCCAGGCCCCAGCGGGAGCGCCGAGCCCGCGGCCTGGAGCCTGCAGCCCGGAGGCGACGGCCACAGCCCCGCGGCGTCCTCGGAGAAGCCGCGGGACCCGGAGCGCCCCTCGGGGAAGGACTCGGCCGGCTCCGCGTCCCCCAAGCCCAGCCCGGACAGCAGCGACCCGCCTCCCTCGGCCGCCGCGCCCCCTCCCGGCCGGGCGCTGGGGAAGGGGGCGGCTTCTCCGCGAGCCCGCGGCGACTCGGGGCGCGAGGTGGGTGCGTGCGGGGGGCGAGGTGGGTGCGCGCGGGGCGCGAGGGGGGTGCGCGCGGGGCGCGAGGGGGGTGCGCGCGGGGCAGGCTGCGCGCGTCGCCGGGCCCCTCTCGAGGCACCTGCCTGGCCTGGAGCAGAAAAAGTGACCGTCTCGCGGAGCCTTCCAGAGAACAAACCCTCTGCCCCTTTGCGGTGCTTCCGTAACAGAAAAGAAAGTTGGTGACATGGCGTTGCTTGAGGAGTTCGCTGGTTTATCAGACTTTTTTTTTTTTTTTTTTTTGAATGATCTCGCAGGTGCTGAAGCCTTCCCAGAGTCCTTCTGCCAGCCTGGGGTTCAGGCCAGCCGCCCTGGAGGAAAGCTCTGCTCCCACAGCCACCCCGCAGAGCGCAACCGTCCCCAGGAGTGCTGTCCCTCCTGGGTCCACTCCGGGGCCACCCGCATCTCCTACCGCTGCTCCCAGAACAGGTAATCCCGACTGGAAGGACTGTGCTGAACACGCGGTCGAGTGCGGCAGCACAGCTTTTAGAGTTTGCTGTTTCCTCCAGGCTTGGCTCTGAGCAGCTGCCGTGTGCCAGCAGCAGTGCTGGGTACTGGCCGTAAAAGATGAGGGAGTCCAGTCCAGGAGAGGAGGCGGGCCGCTGTGCTGTTGGGCTGGATAGAATCTGTCAGGGCCCGAGGCTGCTGTGGGAGCCCAGTCTTTCTAGAGGAGGTAACACTGGCATCGAGTGCACCCGCTAAAACGGGTCTGGAGAGCAACGTGTGATGTCCTGGTGACAATGGAACTCACCGAGGCTTGCAGAAGCCAGGGACTCTGCTCAGCACTTCCACCGCAGGGAGTTTGGACTTTCCCTGGAGAGTTTCCACAATGCCGTTCTTTGAAATAAAGCTGACCATAAATTAACAGAAAAAATGAACAACAAATTCATTAACATGGAGAAATAGAAGCCAGACACAAAATGTGAGGCTGAAACACAGGCCTCTTCATGGGGACAGGGAGGCAGGCAAATAGGAAATTTGGGGGGGGGGGATAGTGAATTATTTTTAGGGTGGATAAATGGGCCAGAAGAACTGACAGTGGCCTAGTTCCTCTGGGTTCTAGATGTGATATTTGAGTTTCAGTCTGATGGCCAGTGTGTGGGCAGTGAGAAGAATTCACAGACAAGGACCAGCCTTCAGGGAGGTTATTTGGAGGAGGATCACTGGGGAAGCACAGCAGGGACAGGACAGAGGGGGTCTGGGCTCACATGCACTTCTGAGTTTTTCATTCCCTTTGGTGGGCACTTTGCTAGGAGTGGTTTAGGCCAAGCAAGGAGCGATTAGAAGACTGCCGTGCCTTGCCCATTCTGCTTAGTGTGCATGTCCAAATGCTTATTTCTGGTTTGACTCTGGATTCATGAGATGCAAGTAATGAGTCTGAGGTCTTAGACTCCAGCTTTCCCTTCTTAGGTTACTGCAGGTCAAATTTGGGTCTCTGCGGATGCTCCTCAGGATGGTTGGGCCATCTGTTGAAAAACAGGATCTTGTTTATTCTTCAGGGGAAGTTAGCTTCTCTGATACCACAACAGCAGGATAAAAGTCAGGCCCTTAGCCTCAGTCACCTCTGCTAACAGAGGTGGGTGGAGCCTGGGAGAGGCCCCTCATCCAGCCTTCTTGAGTCTTCCCCCTGTGCAGTGAGTTTATGAGATTGTGGTTCTGAGAAGACATGGCAGTGGTGTTCCAGTTTGGGCTACCCAATCAGGTAGGAAAAAGCTTTGCAGACAGCCTGCCTTACACAGGGAGTGGAAACAAGGAAAGGCCAGATTGAAGACCTTACTCCATTTGCCCCATTGGTTACCTTAGATCCCTGATTAGGAAACCGGTTTCAACTTCCTCTCCATTGGCTACTTTAGGAAGCCTAATTAGAATACTGTCCAATTAACCCCACTGGTCATTTTAAAATGCTGCACCTGCAGTGGGAGTTGTCATGGTAATGGGACACTGTGAAGAAGGACATGACTGGTCTCCCTGTCGTTGCCTCCAGTGGCATCCTTCTGTTACTCCGCTCTGCCATTTTGGAGTCACTGAACTCCGACGAAAGACTTAACACAGTGGCAAGCATTCTGGGGTGGCACGTTCTTCCTCCATAGACCCAGAAAGGAGGAAGAGCCCCTGGACAGTGTATTGCAGAGGCTTCAGTGAGGAATGAAAAGCTTCTATTAGATTGTCTAATGAAGAAGTTTTACGCTATGGAAGACCTAAGTGTCGTGTTCACTGAGCTTTCCTGTGGTGATGTATTTTGAGGATTATGTTCTGTTGAGCAAGAATAAAATCAACCTAGTTGAGGACAAAGAGGACTGCATTTTTGTGGGGCTAATTAGGATTGCAATCTGAGAAAATATAGATCCTCGCAGTCTTAACAATGTGCTCCAGGGGTTTACAAAATGGTGGCTATATTTAGAGTTTAAAAGCACAAGAGAGGCCTGGTCATGACATCACTGGTCGGTCAGGAACTGACTGGTGCTGGCAGAAGGTAAGGTTGGTGTGGATTCCGTCCCTGATAGTTGGGGGGAGGGAAGGAGGGCTCCCTGTCCAGCAGGTCAGCAGCGGCTCCAGTCCGACTTGATTTAGATCTGACTAACAAGGCCCTGCCGAATCGTTTTCAGTGCCCTGAGCCAATGAGACTCAATTTTGATGTTTTTTTCTTGACACCTCTTTACCTTTTTAATTTACGTTGATCCTGAGCTTCAGAAAGGGTTAATGGTGGAAGAGAAGCTGTGTGGAATATGGAAAAGGAAACTGGCCTTGGAATCAGGATCCTTGGGTTCTAACAGTCGTACTGTCAATGAGAATAAACTCCGCTTTCAGGAAATAAGAAAGTAGTTTATTTTGAGTCAAATATTAGTGGCCATGGCCCAGGAGCACAGATTTGGGTCACCCTGAATGACATGCTCCTCCATGAAAGAGGTTAACCTTCATAGCCAAAGCACAAAGAAAATGATAAATCAATGTATTAATGAACACCGTGGGGACATTAGGTAGGTGGCTACAGTAAAGCAGGAAAGCTTGTGACCAGAGTTTTAGAGTTAAGGCCCAGCTCGGGGGTCTCAACAGACTAGATCCAGCCCCCATCTGAAGGACCAATCCAAGAGCCCATCAGTGGCAAAGACAGGGAAGGAATGTGTAGCCCACCAGAGACACAGGGAGACCCACATCCTCAGTTCTGTCTTGCGGGGGGGCTGTCATGAGCATAGACCAGGGATCAGAGGACGCACAGTTAAGGAGTCTTGGTCCAACTGATACTGCCGGTCACCGGTTAATGTTGAAGTTTGAACATTAGAGAAGCATGCCGAGTCAGGCATATAAAGCAGGGTTTATTTTAAAAGGGGTAACATAGACTTCTCCCTGGAGGCAGAAGGGGCCACGGCTGGTGTCCTGGTATCCCAAGAAGGAGGTATTCTGCCCTTTTTATGTGTCCTAGGCTTCCTCTGTTCTCCTGCCTTCTCCCTCTTCTCTTTCTCCTTCCTGCCTAAGTGACTAGGCCCAGGAAGGCTCGGTGGGATGCCCAAAAGGTGGGGAACAGGTGGGCTGAGGGGGAAGGGCAGGGAGAGTAACCCAGGACTCCTGAACAACCTTATAGCTCCCTGTCGGGAGGGGCAACTCCTGGGTCCGGTGACCTTAGCCACAGGTTGGAGCAGGGGCAGGTTCTTGATACGGGTGGAGGAAGGGCTCTGAAGGAGTTAACATCTCAATCCCTCAGGGGACAGTCTCCAACTAGCTGGACTGACTCCGATTGGCCTGACTCGAACTGACCTGACTCGATTTACCTACCCATACCTCCTGTCTAATTCTGACTTCAAAACTGTTACCAAAACCTCGATTAGGGTCCCCAGTGCTAATCCAGTCAGGAGGACAGGATTTTGACCAAAAGGAAGAAGGAGTTTTATTGTTTTACCAGCCAAGGAGAAGCACAGGGAACAGGGGTTTTTAAAGAGGTGATTTAAAGCGTCCATCCATGTGTTCCCCTTGGAAGTTGTAATTCACTTGTTAATTTGGGAGATACTCATTTCTGAGATCTTCTAGTGCCATCCCCAAAGTCTGGATTACTTGTTCCTGTGGTAGGTGAGTGCTCAGGACAGACAACTCTGTCTAGGGTGGGGAAGAAAGGTAACCCTGTTTCCCCTGAGATGAGGAGGAGCTGGGAAAGAGGAAGAGGAAGAAGCACATCCATTTGAAAATTAAGTCCCAGTGGCCGAGTCGTAAGGGTTAATTCAAAGCATAGGGTGGGCCACTGTATAAAACTGGCCTGGTTGATTATTATCCCAGGGTTGGTGGGAGGAGGGTGGTTGTTGCCTGGTCAGTAGAGATATTTGTCCATCTGACCTGTGGTTGTGGAATCTAAGCTGATGGCAGGACAGAATGTCTTAAAGCAAAAGGGACAGATTCAAAATGGGGATTGTTAAACCATGAGACAAAGACCACCRACTCCAATTTAAATCAAATTAAAGCAAGCTTGTAATTCCGACCGGCCGGGTCTGTCTCTCCAGGAACCCGTGTGAATAGAAGACAGCACCCCAGCTCTCTAGGAGCGCAGTTTTATAGCACAGGAAATTGCAAAAAGTGTGTGTGGGAGGGGTGTCTTGAGAACCTACAGATGACAGGATTTTGACCAGCATAACACAAAAGCAGGTAGTAGGCTAATGGTCTAAATGATTCAGCACTTAGGGAGTAAACTTAGGTCCCGACGTCAGAATTTATGAGGCGCCACTAGAGTTTCAGAGAGGGTTGCTATCTGGTCAGGGAAAGCCAGGCATGGGTGAGTTCAAGGCACGGGCAGGCATTCCAAGCAAGTTTAGAAATCGCAGTAATATATAGTAAAGCCGAAATTAACTTTTCATGTCTTTGTGACGAGGTGGCTCCCAATCTTAAGAGGGAATTAAGCTGGGTGTATCAGGATTAGAGCCAGGTATGGTGGCTCCCACCTGTAATCCCAGCTACTTGGAAGGCCAAGGCAGAAAGGTTGCAAGT